GGAGTTCAGGAAAAGCCATAAATAAGTAAATGTGAATTGATAGGGATGCTGGATTCTATTTCTCTTATTAGCATGCCTGTTTTTGCTTAATAGAATTTGACTTTTAACTTAGTAAACTGATAAGACGACTTCATTGGGCATTATAGAAATACCTCTCTGGTGAAGTATATTACTAAAGAAATGACATACATCATAATAGTTATCAGTCTTTGGAGAAAATAAAATGAAAAAATTGCCACACAAATGCCTCAGTAACTCAACACATGAAGTGGAGTTTGCTTTATTAGTCATGCATTATCAAACTATGCATGGTTTCTTTCCATCCTGTCATTACTGCTGGGGATATACTAGTAAAATCACAGGCTTAAAGTTAGGAGGGACCAGAGAGGCCTAGTCCAATCACTTTACTTTAAACACTATTACTATCTTTATCTCACATATGATTTTTTTTTAAAAAAAGGCTTAAAGATATTTAAGAAAAAAAGAAGTCTTGCCTCAATCCACATAGCTAGTTTGTACTTGAGCTGAAATTTAAGCACTGCTTCACAGCTAATGTTTTTTTGACACTTTACTGTGTAGTAATTTGATCTGTAAAGTTCTGTCTCTCTTAACATTTATTCTCCTTGTAAGAAATAGATGGTGTATATTATGTTTGATTTTGTCTATCGTGTAGACAATAATTAAAAATAACATCTAGGATCTTGAGACTATCATGCTAAGTGAAATAAGTCAGATGGGAAAAGTCAAGAACCATATGATTTCACTCATATGTGGGACATAAAACTAAAACCAACAAATGAATAAATAAGATAAACAAAAACTCATATAGACACATACAAAAGTATGGTGATTGCCAGAGAGAAAGGGGAATAGTGGGTAAAGGGGGTCAAAAATATGGTGACAGAAGGACACCTGCCTTTGGGTGGTGGGCACACAATACAATATACAGATGATGTATTATAGAATTGTACACTTGAAGCCTATATAATTTTATTAACCATTGTTACCTCCCCCAATAAATTTAATAAAAAATAATATCCAGGGTTAGAAAATTAGAGATATTTGAATTCTTATACATTACAAGTGGTGCATTTGAATTGTGAGAAAATGAAGTGACAATATATATCAGATGCTTAAAGAATTGTTGTTATATCACTTTGAGAATTTTATCAAGTTCAGGCAGAAAATAGATGTCTCACCCAATTAAGAAAGATTAATGACTGTGCTATTTACGGAGGTGTGGCCAGGGGTAAGGGAACCAGAGCATGGCAAAGCGTTTAGAGGCTAGTGACATGGGGAAGCTATTACCACCTCTACCACAAAAGGGGTAAGCCAGGTACTGATGAGACCCAAGGGTGAAGAAAAGAGGAGGAGATTAAACCACAGAACTTAGTCACTGTCAGACCTGAGCCCAGTAACTAGGAGATGGGGGTAATGTGGAAAAAACACCCAGCTTCTCTCTTGTTGCACCAGCTAATCTGCCATCGACAGTGCCACCAACTGGACAAAACCAGTGGAAAGCCAGAGTCCCTCTTGACTCTTAAGAAGGTGACTCTCCCTGGGCACCAGGCTTCACAGGGAAGGACAGCTGATGGACTTTAGGCGGCGCTCAAGAGAAACAGAATCGCCAGCACAATCTCTAAGCCATTTCTAAGGAAGAAAGCTAGACTTTGTGTTAAGATCAATACACAAATGATAACTGCAATATTATTTATAAATATCAGGTATTAGAAATAATATAAATAATCAGCAGTAAGGTACTGGAGAACTCAATTTTAGATGTTATCCATAATTTCTCATTTGAAAATTATAAAATGATTTTTAAAAGCATGATCTAAAGGATATTTATTAAAATGGCCATATTTATGCTATGTTAAATTAAAATGAGAAGGCTATAAAACCTGTACTTGTGTTTGACATATGTGCACATATTTTAGAATATGAAAATACATGTAAAACTACATACTTACATTAATGCTTTCAACAAAATTAAATTGATTTGATGGATTGAAAACAAAGAGTTTAATTAGATTGATACTAGGATGAACTAATCTATAAGAGAGTGGCATTCTTCTTAAGGAATTGTAAATATTATGTGTTCTCTTTCAAGTGCAACTAGAATCATAAGGCAGAGTGAGAGCGTAGGGTCTTTGCATTGAAATTGATGTGACATTATGATTTCACAAACACTGAATACATTTTTTCATACAAGAACAAATTTAAAGCTATTAAGATAAACAGAGTATTTTCCTCCAGGTAGGAAAATATTTGACAAATAATTCCAGTTGCAACATACCTTTAAGCCTAAAAGTATAGAATATTTTTTAAAATATTGTTGACTATTATCAAATAAAATTAATTAAGACCAGTGGGCATCTTTCAATTCAGATTTATGATTATTCATTATTATACTCCATTAATACCTGTAGCTTCTGGTTTCTATCTGCTGTATGTTTTCTCTCCATTTGTATGAATTTTAGTTGAAAATCGTATTGCAACTTTTTTTCCAACTGATAAACTAGGACTCAGTTAGGAGGATACTAAGTGATTATGCACTGAAAAAAATGTATATTCTCCATAAAGAAATTCCATCAATATGCTTTGGAGCATTTCACACTCAAATGCTCAGTTCTCCCCCTAACCCACATATAGACAGACATTTACACCTCAGAGATCAATTTCTTTAAGGTCAACTTTTATTTGAATTTAACCATCAGAACATATTATTTTAAGAGAGTGGAAAATATATTACTTCATAGTCTCTTCACAGGTAGGACATGTGATTATTCAAGTCAAAGACTAATGATAACCTTGCTTAGTTTTAAAGAAAAGTCAAAGAAGTATTGTTGAATAGAAAATAAACAAGAAACATGAATACTATAACAATATTAGAAAAAAATGAGACAGATCCCAAATTCTAAGCACTCAGAGATCTCAAACAAAACTATATGATCATCACATTCAAAAGAGATCATTATATATAGTAGAGAGACAGAAAAATGACATAAAAATGTAAATATTGACCAAATGATTATATTTGGAAATCAACAAAGGATAAGCAAATGCTCAAAATTTGACAAAAATTTTAAAAATAAAAACAAACAGAAAACTTAGAAGGAACTGTAAGATCAACAACAACAGAAATAATAGACCGTTTCCATCTGGTGGAAATTATATTATTCACCGTCCATCATTGCTGCTTCACCAGAATCTTCTCATGTTAAGTAGAATTAATTGATCTCAGAAAGTAGCTCATTTTGCCTAGCAATGCTCCAACAATAATTTCTATCCAGAAACAGCTACCAATACACAGATCATGATTCATTTTTTAAATGTTTACATAATGTTCTAATCACATCAATAATTAAAATATTACATGTATATCTAGAAAATAGAAGCTTTGAGCCTGGCTGGCATGGCTCAGTGATTAAGCATCAACTTTTGAACCAGGAGTTCATAGTTCAATTCTTGGACAGGGCACACATGCCGGTGTTTCAGGCTCGATCTCCAGTAGGGGGCGTGCAGGAGGCAGCTGATAAGGACTTTCTCTCATCAATGTTTCTATCTCTTTTTCCCTCTCCCTTCCTCTCTGAAAGCAATAAAAATCTATTTTTTAAAAAAGAAAGAAAAATAGAAGCTCTGTGAATAAAGCTCTAACTGAATTATGGAGTCAAGTGGAGACTAGCACAGAAAGAGAATATATGTCCATATGTAATTTTTAAAAAGTATGTCTGTCCAGAAAAGAAGAAAATCATGATAGTTTCAGCTTTCCCAGGGTAAAGAATCCTGGGAATTGGGCGGGGGTGGTTCTGTATGAGCTAGCTCCAGAAAAGATGCCATTTTAAACAAATCTTTGGATCAGAAAAGCAAATAATGTCAAATACTGGAAATCTGCCAGGACCAGGTGGACAAGAAATGCTCAGATTTCTTTTTCATCAATCATTGCTCTCCTCACATTTTTACTCTGCTTTTTACCCTAAATTTGTTCTCTCTCTCTCTCCCTCTCTCTCTCTCAACTTTTATGTAATTTCCTATTTATTGAAAACAATTAAATTAATCTTTATTTGAATTTTTATTTAATTTAAGTGGAAAGTTAATAATCCCATTATTTAAAAACAATAACAATATGGCTTACTTCTGTTTGCTCATTAGTCTTTCTAGTGCAAAATTATTTCTCATTTGCTACATGGCAATTGTAGAAGGCAATGTATCTTAGTCAAGTCCAGAGCCTCTAGGGTCAGAGTGCCTGGATTTATGTTCAATCCAGGCTCTGCTACTTGCTGGATATCACTGACCATAAGGAAGTTAACCTGTTCCTCAGGGTCTTTTTATGTGTATTGGGGATAATAAAGAAGTTGTTGAGATAAATTAAGCTAATACTTGTAAAGTTTTAAAATCTGCTATATAATGAATCCAACAGTTTATCAACTTCATGAAATTTAGCTGGGTAGCAAGTCAGCTTCTGAGCAGCCAAATTGATATAACTAGTTATGCTGAATTTCAGGTCTAAAGTTGAAACTATGACTATATATGCTTTCTAGTGAGGGTGTATTGAAATGATGGCTTTCATTCTATTCTTCAAAAGTACTTGATGTGGTTACACACCCAAATAAATAGAATCACTTCTGCAGCCACATAATAAACTTTTTCTTACTTTCCAATCGCTTTCAATTGGGAAATCATTTAGAGGTTAAAATAGCGAGAGAATCTGCCTTTGGGTTCTAATGTTTTGGAGGTGCCCGACTACAAAAAGAAGACTTACAGGTAAATGCATGCTCAATGTCTTGGTGAAGATAAAGCAGCCAGCCCCAGTGGGCAAGCACTATTTTAAACAAATATTCTATTTCACTGTTTGAAACAAAGCCATGGGTAATATAACCTACACTCCCCCTCCCAAATCAGTGCAATGCCTTATTTTGAATAAGAGAAAACTATACAAAATTAATTGATAATAATGTATATGCATTTCTCTATATTAATACTCAAGAGCCGCTACTCACCATGACTGTGTAAACTGCACACGCAGGGGAGGCCAAGATCCAACTTAGTCATATTTCTAGTAGTCCCACGTGTGGTGTTGCCATGAGTGACATGATTTTCTAAAAAGACAGATAAACATTAAGTAAAGTTCTGAAGGAATGAAAGAAACTATGTAGTTGCATTTCTGGAAAATTGAATGTATTTTAAAAGTGCATAGAAAATTCTTTTGATTTACTGGAAAACTAATTTGGGCTCTAGACTTAGTAATTAGAAAGCAATGTTCCACCGCGCAATTGAGAATGCACAGTGCCTGGCATCCCTCATTCAGTAAGTGCAGAAACCCTTTATAATATTGTGCACCAAAGAGCACTTCAATTTTCTAAAATTCTCTCTAGAGGTCGTATTTCTATTATTGGGAACTACTGCTCCAAACTACTAGACTTTGGAAAAAATGTAAACTTTTTACGGAATGTAATACATCTTTTAAAAGTGAAAAATATATCGTAATATATTACGCTTGATGAATTTTCACAATGTGAATATACTCTGGTAACAAGTGCTAAGAGACATTAAAAAGATCTGCATTAGAAATATAAAAAGGAAATCACTGATTGTTGAAGCTCGGATAATGGTTACACTTTTTGAAGGAAGAAACTTGATATTTCTCAGTCTTCACAGATGAGTACCATGCAGTAAGGGATTCTATACATAACCAGGGTTCTAGAAGTTACTCCACAGACTGCAGACAGGTTAACTTCATTTCCATATTTCCATACTAGCAACCAGATGAAATCAATAATAAAGGTCTGCTTCATTGAACACTTAACCAAATATGACACAGTGCAGGCAAGACAGTGGAGCTCCTGGCCACCGATGCCATGCCTGACTACTCAGCTAAGTGACATAGCTTAGTCTTGTTTCATTCAATTCTCATTTTTATAAATCAAGAGAAACATGAAAGGTGGAAAGCAGAGTGCAAAGAAACTCTTTAGGACTCAAGATTGAACGCGTGTAATGTTTCACCTTAACTGTGTGTGGGTTGGAAAATCTCCCCTCCACCTGGATGCACCCCCACCATTTAACTCATGCTAGTGTTCACGTGGCATGGCAGTCACGAACAGAGAAGCCGGCCTTTCTTTTTTGTGCTGCCCATGTGCACACTTGAGGGGAACTATTATCCCAAATGCTCTGATAAAGGCAGCTTCTTTGTGCACTGCTGAAACACCATGGAAATACTGGCATGAGTTAAAAATGGTAGCGGTGCATACAGGTAAAAGTGGGGGGAAAAAGTTAATAAAATATGGGCTCATAAATGTTACCCTAAAATAAATATAATTCATTATATTTCAACTTCCAAAACTTTCTTATCCTCATTTTTATAGCACAAAACTTTCTTATTTTCCTCTTAGCCACTGGCCACTCTTTCTCAATTACCTTCACGTCTTCCTGCTGTCCAGTTTAACTTTTAAATGTTGGATCCCTCTAAGACTATTCTTACATCCCTCCCCTTGTCAATCGTTACATTCTTCTCATGCAATTTTATGTAATTTATTTCTACCTTTCACTCCAGACCAGACATTCATCCACATACCTTGCATCCAAACTTGAATTTCTACCAAGCGTTACACATTTTATTGTCTAAAACAGAACAATTATCTCATCCAAATCTTCTGCCACAGTTCTCATTTCAGTGAATGTCATCACCATGCACTCAGTTACCTAATAAAATTTCTTTTCAAAAAATACATAAATGCATAAAAATAGCAGGCTTATTGAAGGTCCTAATGACACTAATTTCAAGGTTTTATCTAGACATTCATTTTTCTCCATCTCCATTATAATCACAGCAGTTCAAACTACCATTGTCTCACCTGACTATACAGTAACTTTGCAATTGACTTTTCTCCTTCCTATGCTGGCACCCTATCTGATCCGCTCTATCATGAAGACCTCATCTCTACTCCTTCCCTGCTTGCTCATTAACCTCTACCCATCTGAGCTATCTGTGTCACAATTATACTAAACTAACTTTCACTTTAAAGCCTTGAAAAACCTATTCCATTTACAAAGAAGAGAATAATTAGGAGGAGGAAGAGGAGAAATGCTTTCTCCTTTCCCTCTTCATATGATTGATTCTTTCTTGTTCTGAGTCTCAACTTGAAAAAAAACACATCTTCAAAATACATCTGTATTAATTATTCAATCTATAGTACCCCACCAGTCTTTGAATTAAATTAATTTCAATTATAACCAATTACTCATCACTGCACATTATTTCATCTTACACTTTTATGATGTAAAACCTGATATCAGCCATCTTATCTGCCTTGTCCATTGCTCTATACACAACACCTAGACTCTAGGTCCTAGGCCTAACTCATGGGAGGTAGTCACTAAATGTTTGTGGAATGAGATGAATGGATAAATGATGAATGAATGAATGAATGAATGAATAAAGCTTTGTTTGAGACATGAGCATCATTCATTCATCTAATTTTCTTTTTCCCAAACAGTTGAATGAAAATAGTGTTTCAAGGCTGAAATGTGTATGATTTAAATGTATTTTGTGGAAATACCTGTTCCACTTAAGGTCAAAATAGCAGTGTAGGTAAATGCAATACTTGCATCCTCCCACAACCACATCAAAATTACAACTAAACTACAGAACAACCATCATGCAGAACTGCCTGAAATCTAGCTCATGGAGGAATCCCAGGCAGTTCCTTTTAAAGGACCTGCACATGGACTTATTCAAACTCACTCCCTCTGAGCTCCATTGCTGGGGCAGCAGCTTGAAAGGAACTAGGGACATGTGAGGAGAAAACAGAAGTTGACTGGACTGTGGGTTAATGATGCATTTTTGATTAATTGGGCAGTACTTTCTTTTCTTGGTGGTTTGAAATACCCATGTCCTTCACTGTCTTTCTGATCAGAGCAAAGAAAGGAGTACCTCTACTTTTTATTTTTCTGAAACCAATCTTCACTTTGCTCTCAATTTCATATTGTGCCTGCTATAGAACCATAAGCCCAAAATTACATATTTTCATTACTTGTTAGTTTAATATTTTTTTCTTCCTCTGATATCTTCTCTAAGGATTTTTAAACAATAATTGTGTGTTATTCAAAAGTATAATTTGGGGAGTAATTTTAATATTAGTATCTTCAAAACCCTTTCTTTACTGTTTCAATAAGTGCTACATTGAAGTTAACTGACCCCACTATTCACAGAACTATGTGAAACAAGAAAATAGTACAAATGTTGAGGTAATATTTGGATAAAATATATTTCTGATTTTATTTAAAATTGCTATTGTTCCTTTGGGGAATCTAAAGTAACCAGTTGTAAAGTACTTTTTCCTTAACCTAGTTTTTGTCCATTGATTTTATGTACTTAATGTTACAGACACCCTGGGATATGAGATAATGGTCTGAATTCAGGAATAGAAGTTTCAAGACTTAGACCTTAACAAACTGTGTCATGCAGTGATGATATTTTGTTTACTTGGATTTGTTTTTTGGTTGTATTATTGTTGTTTATTTTAAAATGAGAAATGGAATATTGCCATCTTCTTTAAATTTCTTTGTGTTATAAGCAATTCCTACACCATGGAGGAAGGTAATCATTCCAGCAACAGGCTTCAACAGGGATAAGTAAGCAGAAAGTACATGATGACTGTAATTATCTGGGTAACTTTCCTCTTCACTTGGCTTAGAGCAGTGGTTCTCAACCTTGGCTGCACATTAGAATCACCTGGGAATCTTTTTAAAATCCTGATTTCTGGGCCTCATCCTCCGGAAAAAAAATTCCGGAGGATGAGGTCCAGAAATCAGGATTTTAAAAAGATTCCCAGGTGATTCTAATGTGCAGCCAAGGTTGAGAACCACTGGCTTAGAGAAACAAATATACATGTGTTTGTTTTTCAATCTTTTTTCCACCTGGAAATAAGAACCATATGCTATATGGTCTTTGCAGTCAAATACAGGGGGAGGGGGGGGGGAGGGCACAAAGTTATGTAAGTGTTCTCTGTACATTTTTTTCTAGGATAGTCTGGAGTAGCCAATTAGCTTTTTAAATTATTATAAAAAAATTTATCAGGTTTTGAGTAACCTTTAAATGTAGTGATTAGAGAATGAGAATTCAGTTGAGAAACTTAGATGTGAGGAATGAATTAATGAGCATTTCGAATCTAAGTGGTGTATACTTTAATTAAATACTTATAAAAGTTCCTCACCAAATTATAAGGAGATACAACTGCATTACTGATTTCCTCCCCTGAATTCGGAAGGCAGTTAAGTTTTACTCAGTTTTGAAATTTGAGTTTAGATTTGTGAAATCCCATCTAATTTTCAAATGGGTGTTTTAGTAATATTTTGGCTAGAAATGTTGTGACCTATAAAAGCATTGATTTCTGTGAATCTGTTAAATTTTAATTACAGTTTAGGTGGAACTTATTCAAGTAGGAATAGTGCCAATGCCTTTTCCCAGGACAAACCACACTGTGCCTGCATTTTCTTTTTGATCTCCTCGACTTGTTCTTCATGCCGCTCTATGTGAGTCACATATTACAAGCAAATTTTCCCAGAAGATGTCAAGTGGATGAGGAGAAAAGGATGAAACAGACTGTGCTGTGTGTTTGATGCAATGATGGTGACTTGGGAGGGAAGGTTTAGAGAGAGAGAGAGAGAGAGAGAGAGAGAATGGGGTTAGTCACAGACTAATTTCATACAACAGCTTTAGGTCTTTTTAAACACATTTGTGAGGTCACCAGGTAGCTTGTTGCTATTTCTATGTGCTCATCCTCCTCCTTAAGGAGGCACTGGATACTCATGAAAGCTGACTATCTGAGTTAAGTTGATCATTTTAGGGTGAAGTTGATTGTCTTGGGGCAAAGTTGCCCTACAATTTTTTTTTCTATCAGAATACTAACATTAATAAGAAAAACAAACACTGAAAAAGAATTTTTATTAAGATGTTTTGATTACATATGCTAACTAATACCTCTAATGACTTGGAACAAGAGTTACATTCTAATCAATCCAGAATACTCTACTGAGTGCCTACTAAGTATAAGTTTAAGTTATTCCCAGCCCAATACATCCCTTGCCTCTAATGGAATTT